TTTAATAATATTATGAATTAATTTTCATTTTAAAGATAAATTTAATATTAATGAATATGTCGAACAACAACAAGAAATTGATGAATTTGGCCGCGTGAAGACACCCGCGTCCATAAATTTTGGTGTTAGTGATGCTGTTCGTCAACGTCGACGACAGCAGCGAGACAAAAGAAGATCTAAACGATTACAATATAGCACAGATGATGAGATTAAAATGGAAGGATTATCTACTGATGATGAGTTAGGTGATGCTGATGAAAGGGATATGGCTGCTAAAATAGGTATATATATATATATATTTTTTTGAAATAAATATTTCTTAAATAAGTTTATATCTTGTAAATTTTTGAATTGACATTCACCTTTTATAGATGAAATTTCATATCATAAAACTAATCTATTTGATGACGTTGACGATGATTTCAAATCTATTTATTTGGTTAAATTAAAATTTGATACATGGAAAAGAGAATTTTCTGAAGATTATACGAAAGCATATGGAGATTTAAGTTTACCCGGAGTGTTTGAATTTTATGTGAGATATGAAATGTTGTTATGGAAAACATTCATGGTAAATCATATTATGTGTTTAAAAATAAAGTAGATAAATTTTATATTAGACTAATATTTCTATAACATGTTAATTCTAGGAGCATTTTGATTTTAACAAGATGGAATGGTACCGAACTATTTCTGGGTTTAAAGATATAAATTCATCTTCAAACCTTTCGGAAAATGATGATAAAATTTTAACAAAAATTATTGAAAAAGTCATTATTCCACGAGCCATTCAATTAGTCAAAGTTTTAAATCCGTATTCATCCAAAGAAACAAAATCTGCTATCGAGTTTTGCAAATCAATGTTAAAGTTTGTTGATAAAAACTCTCCAAAATTTAAGGTAGATTTATTTATTAAAATTATATATTTTTTTTATGATTAAATTTAAAATGCGTATTGATCAATACTTTTATGTGATAGGATTTCACATCAGCAATATCGAGTAATTTACAGAATGCAGTACAGGCTATTAAGCACCCTGATACTTTTGGTTTAAGTAAATCTGAAATGGATGAACACGCAATAAGATCACGGGATAGATTTTTTTGGCGCAGATACAAGGTTTACTTATTTTACATTATTCATTTTGAAATTTTTTTTTTATATTTACACACTTACACGTTTCTTGATAGTTAATGAACAACCTTATCTTATGGAAAGATTATATCCAAGAAGATTTTGTTCGTCCACTTGTCATAAACAATCTGATTGATCAATGTTTGTTACGTATATTAGATGGGTCACCGGAAAATGCAATTAAATATCAAAAGGTAAATTTATCCGCCTTGAATTGTTATTAAATTATATTATTTTATGCTTATATAATCCAAACTCTTTAGATACTTGAAATTGTTCCAGATGAATGGTTTTCACCTTCAACGCTGGAAAAAATTGCACGTAGGGCTGCAGGCATTTAATTTTGATAAATCATAAATCAGTGCGGACGTTGCATTTGACATATATATATATATATATTTGATTTGTTCTTTAAATTAGCATTTAGAATATGGAAAATGAATGTTCAAAGCCCTATTATCACACTTTCTATTGTATATGTTATATAACTAGTTGTATTTTACAGGTCGAGCTTATATACATTTGAATAGTAATCGAAAGTAAAGATTTGAAATTTTATTTTATTAGACTTGTATAATATAGCAATTGTATAAAATAAATTTAGTTATTATCCGAACATTTCATATTTGGTCGAACAACTACCGGAGATAAGCGGCTACGTCCGTACATA